CAGCTAATTTTTGTATTTTTAGTACAGACAAGATTTCACCATATTGGCCAGGCTGGTCTTGAACTCCTGACCTCAAGTGATCCACCCAGCTCAGCCTCCCAAAGTGCTGGGATTACAGGCATGAGCCGCTGTGCCCCATTGCCTTGTGCAATACTCTTGTTTCATGTTTGCTACACCTCCTGAACTTTGATTTGTTTGCTTTTTACCAACAATTGTGAATCAAAATCGTCCCCCAGAACATGGAATAATGGCAGAAAGTGTGTGGTTGAATAAACACACAGATCGGCATCCACCGTTGAAACGGGAAAACATCTTATGTTATGCTGCTGCTGTTGTGAGGGCTGATGGGCCTTGAGAGAAATGTATTTCCTGCACTAAGTGTGTGTAAGTGAGTGTGATTATACTTTTTGGCCTTGCAGCCCCGTCATCCTTTTCTAATCAGGTCACACTTGTAAGGGGCTTAGGATTGCGTCTGGCCTGTGTAAGCCCTCTGAGTTCTGTGGTTCTTAGATTTCCCTCTTCAGCACTATAGCTCTGCCTTGTTCCTCCTTCTGCCACCCTATTCTGTGCCCCCTGTAGAAGTCCGAGCTGCCCCCACACTGCATTCTGGTCCGGCCGCCCCTCCTGCGGTGTGGCCCTGGCCGACCCCCACTCCTGCTCCCCGCTTTTCTCGCAGAAGCTGCTCTTTGCCGGCTCCCGCTCTCAGCTGGTGCAGCTGCCCCTGGCCAACTGCATGAAGTACCGGTCCTGTGCAGACTGTGTCCTCGCCCGAGACCCCTATTGCGCCTGGAGCGTCAACACCAGCCGCTGTGTGGCCGTGGGTGGCCACTCTGGGTGAGTCGGGCTCTGCATAGGCCAGGACCAGGAGGGAGTCAGGGTAGTGGGAGCCAGGCTGCTGATGTACCTTACATTCCCTACCAGATCCCTGCTGATCCAGCATGTGATGATCTCGGACACCTCAGGTGTCTGTAACCTCCGTGGCAGTAAGAAAGGTGAGCTTTTATATTGCCCTTGCATCGGGCTGTGCCCTGGACTAGAGCCAGAGTTTCTGTTCTCCTCTTCCCCAGCCCTGGTTTCCTGCCCTAACCCTCACTCTCTTTTCTCTGCCACTACAGTCAGGCCCACTCCCAAAAACATCACGGTGGTGGCAGGCACAGACCTGGTGCTGCCCTGCCACCTCTCCTCCAACTTGGCCCGTGCCCGCTGGACCTTTGGGGGCCGGGACCTGCCTGCGGAACATCCCGGCTCCTTCCTCTACGATGCCCGGCTCCAGGCCCTGGTTGTGATGGCTGCCCAGCCCCGCCATGCTGGGGCCTACCACTGCTTTTCAGAGGAGCAAGGGGAGCGGCTGGCTGCTGAAGGCTACCTTGTGGCTGTCGTGGCAGGTCCATCAGTGACCTTGGAGGCCCGGGCCCCCCTGGAAAATCTGGGGCTGGTGTGGCTGGCGGTGGTGGCCCTGGGAGCCGTGTGCCTGGTGCTGCTGCTGCTGGTGCTGTCACTGCGCCGGCGGCTGCGGGAAGAGCTGGAGAAAGGGGCCAAGGCTGCTGAGAGGACCCTGGTGTACCCCCTGGAGCTGCCCAAGGAGCCCACCAGTCCTCCTTTCCGGCCCTGTCCTGAACCAGATGAGAAACTTTGGGATCCTGTTGGTTACTACTATTCAGATGGCTCCCTTAAGATAGTGCCTGGGCATGCCCGGTGCCAGCCTGGTGGGGGGCCCCCTTCACCACCTCCAGGCATCCCAGGCCAGCCTCTGCCTTCTCCAACTCGGCTTCACCTGGGGGGTGGGCGGAACTCTAATGCCAATGGTTATGTACGCTTACAACTAGGAGGGGAGGACCGGGGAGGGCTTGGGCACCCCCTGCCTGAGCTTGCAGATGAACTGAGACGCAAACTGCAGCAACGCCAGACACTGCCCGACTCCAACCCCGAGGAGTCATCAGTATGAGGGGAACCCCCACCGCGTCAGCGGCAAGCATGGGAGGTGCAGCTCCTACTTTTGCACAGGCACCAGCTACCTCAGGGACATGGCACGGGCGCCTGCTCTGTCTGGGACAGACACTGCCCAGCACCCACCCGGCCATGAGGACCTGCTCTGCTCAGCATGGGCACTGCCACTTGGTGTGGCTCACCAGGGCACCAGCCTCGCAGAAGGCATCTTCCTCCTCTCTGTGAATCACGGACACGCGGGACCCCAGCCGCCAAAACTTTTTAAGGCAGAAGTTTCAAGATGTGGGTGTGTTTGTCTGTATTTGCCCGTGTGTTTGTGTGTTTGTGTGTGTGTATGTGTGTATGCACGCGTGTGCGTGCTGCGACATAGCCTTCCTGTTTCTGTCAAGTCTTCCCTTGGCCTGGGTCCTCCTGGTGAGTCATTGGAGCTATGAAGGGGAAGGGGTCGGATCACTTTGCCTCTCCTAACCCCCACTGTCCCGAGTGTCGGGCAGCAGTGTACATATGGGGGTGGGGTGGGCAGGGTGCTGTGCCCCTTCACGGGGAGTTCAGGGCTCGGGGTGGGCCTAGTCCTGCTCCTAGGGCTGTGAATGTTTTCAGGGTGGGGGGAGGGGGATGAAGCCTCCTGTGTGTTTGGGGGAAAGGGTGGGTTCAGTGGTATTTTATACTTGCCCTCTTCCTGTACAGGGCTGAGAAAGGCTGTGTGAGGGGAGAGAAGAAAGAGAGGGTGGGCCTGCTGTGGACATTGGCATACCCTCTTCCAGTCCTAGGAGGAGGGCCTCCTAATGGTGTAACTTATTGTGTCCCCGCGTATTTATTTGTTGTAAATATTTGAGTATTTTTATATTGACAAATAAAAATGGAGAAAATGAAACGATTACTGTGATGGGGCTAAGACATTTGGGCTAAAACCTTTCTGGGTGCCAAGAGGGAAGGCTCTTTGGGTAAAGGGAAGCTGGACTGGGCCTCCCCCACAGTCCAGGGCAGCCACCTCTTTTGCAGTCCCTGTCTGCCTGTGGGAGGGGACAGCCCAGCTCCAGTGTTTTCCCACAGTGGTGGCTGTGGGGCTGGGAACCAGACATGGCCACAGCCCCTTGGGAGCCAGCCTTGGCTTCTGGCCAGAGGGAGAAGTCAGGGCACTGGGAGTCCAGGGGAGAGGTGGAGTGGGAGCGGGGGCGCCTTCCCAGACTCAGGACGGTTAGTGGGAGTGAGGGGGCCAAAGGAGGGGAAGGTTGTGGAGATGAGAGAGTTGCCTGTGTAAGGATGCGGTTTTCAACCCACTTAGGAGAGGTGAAATGACGTCTAGACTTCTACCACCAGCAATGCTAGGGTCTTCAGGGCCCCAGCTAGGTGGGGAAGGAACTTAAACCCACACCCAATGTGCACCAGACCACTGTCCTGGAGAGGGAGTGGCACAGAACCCCTCCCTGTCATTTATGCACCCTTTCTAAGCCTATCAAGCGGTGGAAGTGAGGTCTCCCCTGTACACTTAACTGTGGCTTCAGCAGGTGGCTGCCTAGGTTTTAACCGGGAATTGAGAAGGCTGGGGTCGGCTGAGGAGCACGTTGCGGGGGTGCACCGTCCGCAGATGGCCGCCCAGATGATGTTTTGATCCGGAAGACGGATTCAGCAAACTCGCCACCCACTGTGGGGCCGTGGGGTTCTGCACAAACCAAGGCCCTGTCCGTACCCTGGAGGTGGAGCCAGAGGCAGGACAAGTTGTGGCCACCTGCTCCTTGCTGGACTTTTTTTTTTTTTTTTTTTTTTTTTTTTTTTTTTTTTTTTTTTTTTTTTTTTTTTTTTTTTTTTTTTTTTTTTTTTTTTTTTTTTTTTTTTT